TTGGAGCAGGGGATGACAGCATCTGATTTACATTCTAGGGCCCCTGGTGACCCCGGTCTGGGTGAGACTGAGGTGGAGGGGGTAGGCATCAAGGGCACCATGGGTCTTAGTACAGGACAGGAGGAGCCGGAGGAGCTGGTCCAGGCTTGTTGGGGGCTCTGGTCCTGGACACTGTTAAATGAGTAACTGCTGTCCGAGAAAGTGAGGGGTGTGTGGGTGAGACATGCACCCAGGTCTGGAGTTTTGATCTATTCCTCGTGACTCATTTTGTGCCTGCATTTAGGAAAGTTCTCGGAGACCTTTGCTAAATGTGCACTTACACCCTGTTTTCTCATTTCCCCCCTATGTTCTAATTAATCCAATTTGGGAGGTATTTCCATAGGTGAGTACTAAGTAAGGGTTTAAAAGCATTTGTTTTGCAAATAGATACCCAGTTCTCTGTTACCCTTGATTGAATCCACCCGTGCTGCCTCATCAATTTTTGAATTTTAAAAACAATAGCAGGATAACAGGATTTCAGGGTCGCCCACCGGGTCGCAGTGGGCTCTACTGATGGTTCAGTGCCAGGTACACGGCCGTCGTGTGTTACCGTTGTTTTTTCACCCAAGAGGACAGTTATGTTGCCTATCTTCACTGCCACCTGAGAACATTCCAGCTCCCAGGATCAGGGTCTCCCAGGGCTGGCTTCAGTCCCTTTTCCATCACCCCATCATCTCACCCTCGGGGCCTGGCTAGCTCCCACCCTAGGGGAACCTCCCGCTGGTGCCTCTCTGGAACTAAGCATAGGTTGCTCACGGGGGCGGGGGGCGCTGGGGACCCTGCTTCAGCCACATCTGCCCACCTTTGAGGGACCACGGAGCTCAGGGAAATCCCTGCGGAGGCTTCTTGATGCTGACTTCTGGCCGCTGTGCTCTCTGCAGGATCAGGAGCCTATCCCTGGGGCCTCCCATCCAGGGCTGCACCTCCTCCTGGGTCCCGGGGACCCAAGCATAAGGCCAGGTTTGCCCAGAGAAACTCTGGGATCCCGGCCGCGGCCTCCTGCGACCCAAGGCCGACTGACAACAGTGTCAACCTGCAGTGTCTCCTTGCAGTGGCCCAGGAACATTTAAATGATCCCTGCCTGGGAGCGCGGGGGGGGGGGGGGGGGGGGGCAGGTGCGGCCTGGCAGTTAAGGCCCAGTGGGTGTGGAGCAGATGGGACCTGGCGAACGTGTGTGCATGTTAAGTGTGTAGATGGGTGCTTGTGTGGGTGTGCCGGTGTGAGGCAGGTACGTGTGTAGGACAGGTGAGTGTGTGCGCACGCACGGGGCAGGTGGGGCCTGGCGGTTGCAGGGCAGGTGCATGGCAGGTGCATGTGCGGGTGCAGGACAAGTGCGTTTATGTGTATGTGTGTGCGGGACAGGTGGGGCCTGGTGGTTGCACGCAGGTGCATGTGCGTGGCAGGTGCATATGCGGGTGCAGGGCAGGTGTGTGTGTGTGTATCTATGGGGGGGCAGGTGGGGCCTGGTGGTTGCAGGGCAGGTGCTTGTGAATGTGTGTGTGCGCGCGGGGGCGGGGCGGGGCGGGGGCGCCTGGTGGGTGCGGGGCAGGATCGTGTGCGGATGCACGCAGGTGTGGGCAGGCGCGGCCGGCGGGGGAGCCTCCCTGCCCGCGCGGGGCGGGCGGGCGCGGCCTGCAGCCGCCCGCGTCGTGCTGCGCGGCGCTCGCGCCTGGAAACAGGAGACTGCTGGGCCGGAAGCCCCGCCCGCGCGCGCGCCGCCTGTCCCCGCCCGGTGGAGCGGCTGCTGGCGCGGCGCGGCGCGGCTCGGCACGGCGGCGCCCGGGCGCAGGCGAGCGGGCGGAGCAGCGGACGGCGCCCAGGCCGCCCCACGCGCCGGGCTCGCGGCGGAGCGCGCCGGACTCGTCGGGGCCCGCGGCCGCCCGCGCCTTTCAATGGGCAGCTCGCACTTGCTCAACAAGGGCCTGCCGCTCGGTAAGGCCGCGCGCGCGCATTTCCGGCCGCGGGGGCGGGGCGGGCGGGCGCGCGCGGGCCCCGGCTTTGTGTGCGAGTGCGCGTGCGCGCCGGCTTCCGCGCGCCGCCCGGGGCGGGGCCGGGGCGGGGCCTCGGGCGCCGTGCGCGTGCGCGAGCCGCAGCGTGCGAGCGCGCGTGCGCCGGCGCCGCCGTCACGCCCGCCGCCGCCGCCGCCGCCGCCGCCGCCGCCGCCCGCGCAGGTGACACAAAGGGGCGCCGCGCTCGGCCCCCTGCCCCCCAGTCCAGGCCCGCCACACCCGCGGCGCGCCCCGGCGTCCGGACCCAGCGGACCACGGCCCCCTCCCGGGCCCGGCCCCCTGCCTCCCGGCGCGCGCGCCTCCTGCGGGGCCCGGGCCGGCCTCCTGGCGGTCGCGTGGGCTCGCCTGCGGGGCCGCAGGGATTCTTGCGGGCGTCCCCGCTCCGCCGGGCTTCGGCGCTGGCGTGCGGGGCCGCCTCGGGGTCCGGCGTGTGCCGGGAGGACGCGCGCTGCGTGCGGGCCCCGAGCCCCGCGTGCGCGCCGGGCGCCCCCCGCACCTCTGCGCGTTCGTGCGGCCTCGCGCCGCCGTCTGCGTTTCCCACGTCTGCAGCACGGTGACAGTGAGGCCGCTGCGCCGGTGGAAGGGCAGCCCCGGCCCGCAGCCTGGGACACACGCCTCCCCAGCTGGCCACCGGCACGCTGCGCTCTCGCCGAGCCCGTCCTCGCCCCTCCGTGAGCCAGGCGCCCCGGCCCCTGTTCTGCGCACAGGGCGGCTGCGCCCCCCTCGCGCCGGCAAGGGTGTCGGAAACCAGGCCCTTGGCGGCTGCTGTAGACACACGGGGCAGCGTGCGGCCGCGGCAGCAGGCCGGCGGGGCACACCGCGGGGGGCTGCTGGCCTGCTCGCCGGCCAGTGCCTGGTGCCCCCGTGGGGCCCGGGTATCGGGGCCGTCTTGCAGTTCCGGGTCCACTTGCGGCGGCCTGGGCTGGGGCCTCTTCCACGGGGGCCCTCCCGGGGTGCGGCAGGGGTGGGGCCGGCCTGGGGTGGGCCCGGGCCGCTGCCCCTCCTCCTCCCCTCTGCTGTGCCTGGAGCCTGGGGGCAGGGGCTCCCCGAGGCCCGCGCCAGGGAGAAGCTGCAGCCACACCTGAGCCTACGAGTTGGAGGCTAGCTCTTTCTCTGGCTGGGTGCCCTGCCCAGCCCTCTGCGTGTCTGCTGAGAAATGAGGGCACCACCCCGGCATGCCCGGGAGGACAGCCTTTCAGCTGGCAGCATCTTGGAGAAGCCCGGAACCTGGCCAGGAGCCAGACCCTTTTGTAGTGATCATTTTCTCCATGATTGTGTAGGACAGATTAACCTTCTGGATGGGGGAGAGGGGGACCATGTGCCATCCAGAAGTGGAACAGGATTGGCTTTCCTCCGGTTACTCTGAATCGAGTACCCGCAGACGTGAAACCCTCACCCGGCTCCCACTTCTTGGGGTGACTGGAGAGTCAATTTGCAAACGGGGAGATGTCCATATCCCCTTTTCCCACCTTTATTCCCCTTTTCCAGGATCACCCCCCCTTCAAGAGCAGCGACTTCATTTGTATAAAAACAGACACAGCAGAGTGCTCAGCGGGGCTGGTCTCCACCACCGTGGGCATTTGAGGCACCTGGAGCCGTGCACACCCACCCTGGGGTCGTTGCGGACAATCCACTCGTGTGTGGGATGGCATCCCCAAGGTTCTTGGAGGAGCAATCAAAGAGGGCCAAAGCACAGACCCAAGCCCATCCCTGGGGTAGCCCGGCCAAGCCCTGACCAGTACCTGTAAGGTGGAGATGGCAGTGTGAGGCCATTTGGGATCATGAGTGAGCTTCTGCCAAGTGATGGGGACTGGGGCCAGGGACAGGGCCAGGGTGGGGGCCATTTCTTTCCGTAGCTGCTGTGTGTGCTCACCGTCATTGTCCTGCTGTCCCTGGATGTCAGCCTGGCCATGCGTGCTCTCTCGAGTTCACCTTCTCTCTGTCCTCAGGGCTTTGCCAAAGCTGGCCGTGGGGGTCCTCTCTGGACCCGGGCTTTGGTCTGTCTCCTCTCTTTGCGGCCCCCGGCGGTGCCTGCCGTGTGCTCTGCTCCATTGGTTTTCCAGGTTTCTTCTCACTTGGGTTTTATTACCATCTTTGAGCATGTGGTTCAGTTTGGGCATCTCTACAAGGGCTTGTGAAGGATGCACACTTGGGGCTTCGTCTCTGTCTGCCGTGTGCAGGTGTGTCCCATCCAGCCTCCCTGGGGTGTTTGTGCAGTTCTGGCCTGTTCTCCTGGACAGGTTGCTGTCCCCTCTCTCTGAGAGATGGACTCATGGCTGGAGTGACCTGTCTCAGCCCTGGATCCTCCTCTTCTGGCTGCGTTTGGGGTTTCTCTTCTATCCTCTTCAGCTTGAGGACGCACAGGGTGGGGGACGGGGCACAGAACTGCTGAGGTCCTGCTAACTGTTCTGAAAGCCCCATGCCCTGGGAGGCTGGAGCCACCCCTTGTCTGTACATCTGTACATGAGGTTTGGCCATGGGGTGAGCTGTCAGATGTTCCCTGGGGGAACCCCAGGGCAGAGATGAGCACCTTTCTGCAGGAGAAGGGCCCTTGGGGTTCAGAGGTGGGTCCGGCCTCGGCGCCCCCCCAGCCCAGTGGAAGCTGAGATTGGCAGGGGCTTCCTTTGGGCCAGCAGGCCATGAGCAGAGGGCTGGGCCCCTGACATGGCCTTTGTCTGCCACCAGTCTCTCACCTGCCCCCAGAGCGTCCGGTGCCAGTGCCCTTGGGGTGTTGCCCGGCCCGAGTAGCTGGAGCGCAGCTTGCTGCTGGCCGCGCCTGGCTCCTGGGTGTGGAGGACCCAGTCAAAGGCTTGCGCATCATGAGGCTTTTTATCCTGTGGCAGCTGTCGTTCTGGAAGACTCCTGGTTTCCCTGCCCTGGTGGCGTGAAGGAGGATCCGGGGGAGGGGGCTGCGTATGGCCCTGGCACCGCCATCCGCAGGGGTGGGGGGCCGTCCGTGACGCACTTGCCGCCAGTTCCCAAACGGGGCTGCACCACCGTGTGCAGAAGCTCAGCTGTGCAGCAGCCTATGGGCCATGCGCTGGCATGGGGCCCTCACTTGTCTGCCCAGACGAGCCCCAGGATGTCCCGAGGGGGTGCACCCACGTTCTGCCAAGCCAGCCAGAGATCTCAGGGACTTCTCGTCATGCACCAGTGCCAAGGGGACGCTCTTCGTGCTGAATTGTTTCTGCCTGTGTCACCCTCGGGGGGGGTCCCTGTGTCCCTGCCAGCCCTGTAGCCTGGGCCTAGACTGTGGCTGGGAGGATGGTGACCCCCTGGTGGGACTGGAACTTGGGACTGTTGAGAAGAAGTCCTAGTGCGGGTGGGGGCAGGGGCCGCTTTCTGGACCCTCCCAGGTGTGGACTCTGGCCTGTCGGGAGGCCCGCGCGGTGCCCGGCACCCTCGTCAGGCTGTCTGTCTGACTCTGGTTGTCCGGGGTCCGTGACGTCCGTGTGGTGCAGTGAGGCCCGGCCTCGGAGGACGTGTCCCCGCCTGGGGTCTCCCCACAGCAGCTGTTGAGTATCACATGCAGAAGGGCAGAAGGTGACGTTCTTCAGCCCCAGGTTCTGGTGCGTGGGATTCTGAAGCGTCACGAGGCAGGACACGTGTGCACACGTAACAGCGCGGGAGAGGAGCATGTGGGAGTCTCGGTGACAGGAACACGCCTTTGCAGCAGTCTTAGCCACGTGTGGGGGAGCGAGCGCCTTTCTGGTTGACGATGAGTTAAGGGGACAGCGCGGTGTGAGCCGCTGCCGGGGGACGTGCCCCCTGTGCCCAGCAGCTCCGCATCTCCCAGCGGGGCGCCTGGCCTGCTCTGTGCAGGCTCAGCTCCCGCCCGGCCGAGGCCCTCGCCCAGCAGACCCTGCCCCGGGCAGCCGGTCCTGGCGCCTCCAGACCATAGCAGTGATGCCCCCCTGCCCCCAGCTGGCCGTGCCGGGCGCCGAGCCACAGGAGGATGTGGTGGGCCGGTGGGGGCGGTGAGGAGCCCCTTCCCGGGGGGTGCGACCGTGGTAAGCCCGAAGCACCAGGAGCCTGTGGGGAGCCTGTTGTGGCAGAGGGTGGCTTCTCGGAGGCGGAGGGGAAGGCTGGTAGGGGCCATGCTGTGGACTTCGCGTTTATGCTGAGGGTCTTCAGGCTGTGACAGTCTCTGGGTCTTGTTTCTGAAGCCTCTGACGGTGGTGGGGAGGGGCGTGCTGTCCTGGTGGGAGCACATAGGACCAGGGGGCTGCTCTGGTGTTCGGGAGACCCGGGCCATGGCTTTGGAGCCTGGGGCCCGAGCAGTGGGGAGCACTTGGGGGTGAATTCTCGGTGTTGAGTGTGGGACGCTTGTCAGAGTTGCAAGGGGAGGCGTGACCGGCCAGGGACGCGGGATGCTGAGGTCAGGCGTGGCTGAGTCTCGGGCACCGCCCCCTGGGGTTCCTGCTGGTGCCAGGGAGCTGCTGCGGTTGGTCTGGGGAGGGCTGGGCGCCTCGGGTGTCCCCAGGGTGTCCCCAGAGTGTGCCGCCTGCACCCTGATCCCTCCTGGGGCTGGGGGTGGGGTAGAGCAGGAGGACGGCCTTGTGGTCAGCTGGGTGGGGCTGGGCGTAGGAGAGCTCCGCCCAGACACCCGTGGGTGGGGCCCTGGGGGCCCCAGTCCCTTCCCTTGCCCCATTGCCTTTAAAGTGAACTTTCTGGCCAGCTTTAGGCTCACAGGAAGATGATGAAGGCAGCCTGGCGTGTGTCTGTGTCCCTGCAGGCAGCTCCCTGTGCGGGGCGGCACAGCCCAGGTCCCGCCGCCCCCTCCTGCTGCTGCCTGACCAGCGCCCGCCTGTCCGACCTGGAATTCTGTGCGCACGTTTGGGACAGCGGCCTGTGCTGGCGTTCCTCGTGCCCTTGTGCGGGGGTCTAGCAGCGGGGCGTCTCCTGCAGCCCAGTGGGTCCTGCCGCCGCCCGCACCCCCAGCTCCCGGTGAGGGCCTCCTGCGTCACTAGCCGTGCTGACCGCCATGTCCCCCCCCCCCCGCTGAGTGGCGGGGATGCAGGTGTGTGCACTTGGTCACCTCCCACTGTGGGCCCCCAGCCCCCCAGGGCCACCGCCGCACCGTGCACAGCTCACCGTACGCGGAATAAAGCGCGAGCTGTGTCGAGGTGCTTGTCAGAATTCGCCCGCTCCCCGCATGCTCGCGGGGTGCCACAGCCGTGCGTGCCCGGCGCCTGCCAGGTGCGGGGGATGCCCACAAGCCCCTCTTCTGGTGAGGCTGAAAGCAGCCCACGTGTCTGTCCAGAGTGGGACATCAGAGTAGGGCAGGAGGTGGCCAGGGAGGAAGCCAAGGGAGCCTGGGAGTGTTGAGCAGCGGGAAGGGCAGGGGCAGCGGCAGCCTGCAGCCCGTGGGAGGCGCCCAGCCTATGTCCCACCCTCCCAGACCCCCGGCCAGCTTCTGAGCCCCACCCCTGACACTCAGGCCCTGTCCCTGGCCAAGGGGCTCTCGTACCTGCTGTTTCGGAGCAGGTGGCTCCCAGGAGCCTTGTGCCGGTCACTGTGGGACGGGCACTGGGGGGACATAGAGTGGGGCGGAGGGACACAGGCTCACGGGGTGTGTAGGAGAGGGTCCTGCACCTCCCTGGGGTCCGCCCTTCAGCTGTCCCTTTGTAAATGTGGGGCCACTCCCCTGAGGGCGGAAGGTGAGCGGAAGCCCCGGCCTGCGTGTTTGGGGAGCTTGGGGCAGTCCTGGGTGGTTTCGTCAGAAGCATCTGTACCACATCACTAAGTGTCCCCGAGGCGTCTGTTCTAAAAGAGTAGAAAATAACTGGAGACAGCACATCGGTTTCCTTGGCTGGGTGACAGTTTGGGTTTCTCTGAGGAGGCAGAGTGCCCCTTGGACATTACGTAACGCGTGGCCCTCCTGATGGTCTCCCCGCGGTGCAGTCTGAGCCGCCGCGGCCATGCTCCCGGCAGGACCTGGGACAGCAGTGTGGGGGCCCAGCGCCTGGGGGGTGGGCAGAAGGCAGCCGGCCGTGTGCCGGGACCACCCGAACCTGCCTCCGCCGTTTAAATGCGTTCAGATAGTGTACGTTTTGCAGTAATGTCTTCAATTTTGCTGTCCGTTTTTTGTGTTTTTCACGTTCTTTTTAATGAACGTCACGTAGTTTTTGTGATTTTTTTTTGCGGCAAAACTGTCTTCCGGATAATTAGGCACACAGGGCAAATGCTTGAGAAAAGATGCTTTCGGTGAAAATATCAGACGCAGTTGGGCAGCGGTACACGTGGCCTGGTGGCCCTGCGGCCCCCGATCCCCAGCCCTGTCCTCACCACCTCGGTTTCCGCGTCTGTGTAGCGGCCACCCCTGTGTCCCCGTCGTCCTTTGCCTGTGTCCGTGGGGCTCTCCGTGGTCATTCTGGGCAGTGAGATCACCTGGCGGGGCTTCCGTGGGGCACGTTCCAGGAACGAGGCCGAGTTTGGTGGGTTATCGCACCGTGGACGTCCCCCAACACCAGCCTGGAAGCTCCTTGCGCTCACTCGGTCTCATTCTCCCAAGCACAGTCGGGCGGTGGAGTCCCGTGGTGCTCAGTGCTGCTGGGCTTGGCTCAGCCTCCCTGGCCCCGGTAGATGCCGTCGTGCTGTCCGTGGGGCCCCGGGGCCAGGACGGGCCGGGGCCAGGCTCACCTTTGCCTGCGTGCAGCTGGGGCCTGAAGTCACCATGCGTCTGCCCGCCGGGCCCAGGGACCCTCAGCCTGACCCAGTCTGGCCTTTGAGCCCCACGCCTGCCGGCGCTCCCCTGGGTGGGACACGCCTCACTGCCCCTAGTAAGGGGACCGAGACGCACCCTGGCCCCTTCAGGCTGCTCACGGGCTTCTGAACCTAGGTCAGCTGATGGCAAAGCAAAGCTTCCTTTCGAAATCATTTTCACAGAAAGGGTGAGCCGGGGGCATGGTAGAGCACAGGGTGAGATGCTCCGTGTGCCCGAGGCGGGTCTGGCTCTCCTTACTGGGGTTCACACAGCCCCGGGCCCTTGGCGTGGAGTGAGTGTGCAGATAAGAAGGCCGCCACCCACACACACACCACCAGCCTGTGCCGTCTGCCGACGGCCACCCCGAGCACGGAGGACCCGGCTGGGGACTCTGGTTGCTTTCAGGCACGCCTGGTGCTTCCTTCTCTGGGCTTTAGGAAGAACACTGAAGAAAGCCTTGCGACCGCTGGTTGGCGTGACCCCTTCCTAACTCCCCGTCCCTTGCACACGCTGAGTGTGATCCCGTGGGGCCCTCCAGGCGGGAGGGCAGACGGGCTGACCGCCCTCGGCTCCGTGGAGGTGACCACTGTGGTCTTGCCTGGCAGGATGCCGCTGCTCTTCTGCAGCTGTGGTTGGAGTAAGTGTGGGCCACCGGTGGAAAGTAGAGGGCCAGGGAGACGTGGCGGGATTAACTCGATTTGGGTTGCAGGTCTTGGGGTTCTGTGGCGCTCCATCCCGCCTGTGCCTGGCCACAGCCACGGGGTGCGAGTCCACCAGCAGCTGGGGCACACCCTCCCTCCCTCGCCGTCTGTAGGCACCCAGCCGCGCGGGATTCCCATGAGGCCCGACCTCCGGTGCTGCCACTGGGCAGGTGCAGGAAGCCCCGAGGATGCCAGGCCAGCCAGCCCCGAGGGCGTTATTCAGCTGCTGCTGGTTGACACCTGACCTGAGGCCTGCCTCCTTGGGGAGGCCCGCGTCCTTGGGGCAGCCCGTGTCCGTGGGGTGGTCTGTGTCCTTGGGTGGCTTGTATCCCTGGGGTGGCCTGCGTCCGTGGGGAGGCCTGCGTCCTTGGCGGCCAGCTTGCTGCCAGGGCCCAGACACCTCACGCCTGTTGCTGGCTCCATGCTCACTTTGGGAAGGTCGAGGTAGAGGGTGAGCCTTGCCTCAGGGCGGGGAGAGCTCCGGCCGGCACAGCTGGGCCTCTGACCGTCTGGGCCTTGCGCACCACTGCGTCCTGCTCCTGTAGAGGCCGGGCCGGACAGTCAGCGAGGGCCCCTGCAGGTTCTCTGGGGCCTCAACCTGTCACAGAGTAGCCCCCTCCCGCTTTATGAGGTGTGAGCGACATTTCTTATTTCATGACTCATCGGGTATGTTCTTTATGGAACAAAGTTAAATCAGAGGTGGGTCCATCGTTTGCAATTTCCCACGTTTTGTATTTTCTTGAGCCGTGTATCAGGAGAGTTCGGGCCCTTTGGGCCTCGAGCCCCTTCTGCCGCCGGGCTTGACCTCAGAGCAGCATTGGGGTGGGCCTGGCGGGGGACGGGTGGGTCTGACCTGGGCAGAGCGTGTCACGGTCCCCTGCCTGGGGCCCACCAGCCGCCGCCCACCTGCCCCATGAAGGACTCTTAGCTATGACTGGATCGACAGGAAGAGGGGGCTCTGGTGTCCTCCGCTGAGAGAGGGTCCCACCTCCCATGGAAGGGGCAGCTCAGCCCCCAGCAGCACAGGACGGTGCCAGTTTGGCCAGGCCCAAGCTGGCCGGCGGTCACTGGCCGGCACCCAGCTACCATGAGCTGCGTCGGGGTGGGGAGCAGGATCCTGGCATGGGCGGTCTGGCCCGGCCGGGGGACGGGCCTCAGGGCACGCGGCCTCACAGAACTGAGGAGGAGCCACGGCTCTGTGCAAACCCCGGGCCACCTGCCAGGCCTCTGGCTTCCTCCCACGGTCTGGCTTCAGCGCCCTCGGACCAGGGGGCCCGGTGTGGAGCCCATCATGGGGACAAAGGCCTGTGAGCCATCCTCTTCTTGGCAGAGAGCTGGTGTTCTCAGCCAGCTGGGAGCTGATCCTGAGGGGTCAGTGTGGGGGCTTGAAACGCGCAGAGGGAATCGAGGGGAGAAGCAGACCGTCCCCAGCATGGGCCTGAGACTCCCAGCATGCACAGCTGCCCTCCTGCCACCGCACGTCCTGGGGTTGCTGCAGGCTGCACGTGGCTGGCCTGGCCGTGGCTTCTCCATGGGCCAGTCTGGTTCCTTCGTGGTTGAGCCCAATCAGCAGAGGACTGCACCACCCGAGGTTTGGGTCATAAAGCACACCCACACTCGGGCGGGGACAGAGGAGATCAGTCAGAAATCACGGCTGCAGAAGCCAAAGGTGAGCGTGGCCGTCCGACCCCGCCCAGGCTTGCAGGTCAGGACAGCAGATCGCCCGCCCTTGGTGTGGATGGGGTGGTGCAGCAGGGGTCTGCACGGGTTCCGTGGGCTGCAGGCCCGTCCCTGCTGGTGCTCGTCTATCCGGTGTCCCTGTGGCCAGCAGTGGGGGGGGGGGGTGCATCCAGCCCCCACATCCATGCAGCCTCCCACCCTCGTGGCACTCCTGCTCCGTGTGGGGCCTCCCAAGGTGCACGCCGACGGCACTCTGGGTCTCAGTCGGTGTGATGCCTGGCTACGCTTCGGGGGCCAGCCCCAGTGCCATATTCTCATGCTGAGAGCAGGGGTCAGGTGCTCGGGTGGGTCCGGAGCACTCCTGAAACCTCCTCAGCCTGTCCCTGACGGGTGTGTGACCCACATGCGTGCTGTTCTCCATGTCTCGTCAGGGGAGCTGTGCCTGAGTCGAGTGCCTGTCCCTGGGGGGCACTGTGTCCCAGTCTGCATCCCCCGGTCCCCCTCCAGGTGGCCTCATCCGAAGTGGCCTCTCCCTGTGCAGTCACAGGCCCGGCAGGCTGTCGGCAGCGTGAGCTAGAAGCTTGCAAAGCGAGCTGGCCACAGACCAGAGACCCACACTCGCAGTGCGTGGACACTGGTGGCACGTGGGGTGGGGTTCCCGAGAACCTGGAGGAGACGTTGGGGCCGGCCCTTCAGAGGAAGCCTCTCGCTGCACCTGCATCCCAGCCGTGCCCACGGTCCGCTCCTACGCCAGGCGCGGCCCCTCCTTGCGGGCAGGTCCCAGCCTGGCAGCTGCAGGCTTGGGTCAGAGATGCACTGAGAAGCTTCACCTTTGTGGACCTTCTGGCATCTTTGAGTTCTAGCTGGCCCTGGATGGTATTTTAACGTGTCTCTTGTGTTTAATTTTTAGTCAGACTTTGACCCCGGCGCAGGCTTCAGTGGTCGCCGAGGATCAGGAGCCTAAGAGCTTTGGTTCGAGACAATTAAAGACGTGGGATGAGGATCCAGTGACAGGACGCGGTTCTGCCTGGGGATTCTGAAGATAAAACGCTTTGAAAAGTCGAATTCATGGTCGTGGAAGCCGAGCCCATATTAAGAAATGTCAGGTTGGTAGGGGCTCCTGGAGTTCGCAGCGGCTCGAAGCTGGTCCCCGCGTGGCCGAGCATGGGCACGGTGGTCCTGTCCGTTCAGTGCAGGGCGGCCCGAGCGCCGGGAAGGGGCTGGCAGACTCCCGGGCTTCCCACGGCGTGTGCGGCGGGTCAGAGTGGCGACAGTCCCCCCAGGCGGCAGAGCACGGGGCTTCCTCGGGGGTCCCATCAGAGGCCTGAAGCCCCAGGTGGGCCAGGCCCCAGGTCGATGCTGGGTCTGTTCTGGTCGTCCTCCCGTGAACTCAGTGCTGGGCTGGGGTGTTACCATGGAAACCCGAGGCCTGTTCCGGTGCCAGCCGCGTGGTCAGGAGGCCAGTGCCTCCCTGGGGCGCGGGGCGGGGGGTGTCCTGGCGCTGCATCTTCTCGTGCGCTGCTCACCGGGTCACGCGTGCTCTCGCAGGACGTGCCCTCGCGCCGGCGGCAGCTCCAGCCCGCACTCTGCAGCCTGCCTCCCAGCCTTGGAAGCTGCCGAGGGCTGAGGGCTCCCCTCACATGCGTTACATCGGTCCGTGTTTTTTAGAAACTAAAGCCGAGGGATGCTGCAAGTAGGCATTTTCCAGTTCACGTGAAAGCGACGATAAGCCCATTCTGTGCCAGTAACTAACAGTTCTACATGAAACATCACCATTCCCCAAGTAAAGCTGGAGAGGTGGGTGGCGCTGTCCGCATGAGGGCACAGCTCCATGCTCTCTGGAGACGGTGCGTGTCTGCCCGGCCGAGGGTCACCCATCACCCCGCCAGGTGGGAAACACGCCAGGGAGCGAGGGAAGCGACTGAGAAGGGGTTCTGGCCTCGCAGACCCCGCACCAAGCTGCCGGCTGGGGCTGCCGGGTCTGTGCGCTCACGTGGTGGTGGGTGAGCCGTGCGCCCCCCGGGCGTGGCTGCCTACTGGGCTCTGGGCCACGGGCAGCCAGTCGTCCCCGCCCCCGGTTCTCATCCTGCGCCGCAGTGCTGCCCACGTGCTGGGCAGGGCGGGTCTTTGTGGGCCGTGGGTCTGGGCGGCGTGGACGGGGCCACGGGCGGCTCGGCAGCTACCACTCCTGTCACCTGGGCGGCCCTTGTGTGTCCCCTTGGCCCCGGATGAGGCGTGGTCACCTCCCGTACGGAAGGAGCTTTTAACAGATCCTAATCTTCTTGTCCCGGCTGTGTTCGGTGTTTTAACCCTTCCCACCTCTGCTCCGTTTCTTCCCTTAAACCTACAAGTGAGATGCTGCTGGGCGTGGGGGGATGGTCCTGCAGGGTTTCTGGGCAGCCACGCCGCAGCCGTAGGCAGAAAAGGAACGGTGGGTGTTGTTGTGAAGCCGGTGACGCGGCCGTCTGCGTGTTCCACGGTCAGAATGGTGAAGACCCTGCGGGGCTGCCACGGCGCCTCCACGCACGTCTGGGCCCTGAGTCCTGTGGGGGTGGTGCCGGCCGGCGGGGTCGGTGGGCTGTAGCAGACGCTGGCTCGCTCTTCGCAGAGATGTTTTTACTCAGGTTTGACGAGATCCAGGCATGTGGACACCTGGGATGTGTCGGCCGTGGGTGGTGGTGGGCCGCGGGGGCCGCGAGCTCTCCGCTGGGGCTGAGCGTCTGCTCCTCTCTCTGCAGGCGTCCGACCCCCGATCATGAACGGGCCCATGCATCCCCGGCCCCTGGTGGCGCTGCTCGACGGCCGGGACTGCACGGTGGAGATGCCCATCCTGAAGGACGTGGCCACGGTGGCCTTCTGTGATGCGCAGTCCACGCAGGAGATCCACGAGAAGGTGACTGTGGGGGTGCTTGAGGGAGCGGGGAGGGCAGGCGGGTCTCAGGTGAGTGTGTCTGCTGCTCCCGTGCCACCCAGACCTGTGGCCACTGTCACCCCCTGCCGGACGTGGACCTAGGGCTACTGTTGTGGCTGTTTGAGCCACTGTGTTGTAACCAAGTGTTCCTGGAACGTGGCGCCTGGGGCCGTGGATGTGGCCAAGCGCAGTGGGGCCGATGAGCTGCACTGTCCTGGTCCCACGTTGGTCACCCAGGCCACCCGGGCTGGCAGTCAGGCACGTAGGCCTGGGTGTCTGCTGTTCTGGAAGCGGAACTGACCAGCCCTGGGTCTGGGTCCTGGCGACAGGACGGCGGACGCAGCCGCATCCTCACACTGCCTGCCTTCCAGCCTGTTAACGACCGCATCAAGCCTTGAACGGGGATTCCGCTGTGCGGCGGGCACCCCGCGGGAGCAACGGACAGTCCTCTGCAGGGGAAGGTCCCGTCGACAGAGCCTCAGGTCATCCCAGCACTCATTTCCTGTTGCGCATCCGTCACGGGATCTGAGGACACGGGCAGAGAGAGAAGACTGAGCTCGCAGCCTCACGAGGAGCTGATGACCACGGGAGCAGCTTTAGTGAAAGTCTAGAAGACCCAGAGGGTCCCCACGCCACGGGACGGGATGGGCCAGGAGGGCGGGGTGAGGGGCTGCAGCCGAGGGTCCGGTGCCACTGACTGAAACCTCAGGACCCGTGGGGTCGGTGGGGAGGGGTGCAGGAACAACAGGACGAGGTGTCGCAAGCCGGCGGACGGCGGTCCCCCTGGAGGAGGCATGCGTCGCGACACAGCCGGTGTTTATCCCAGAGCGGCGAAGCCCAGTGTACGCTGAGTCCTGCCCTTGAGTGTGGCCGTCGTCGCGGCCCTGCTCCCCGGAAGCAGGAAGAGCCCGGCGGCCTTCGGCAGCGCGGGGTGCCCAGCGCCTCCTGGGCCGTGGAAAGGAGCGTGTGCAGCAGGGGGCCGGCGCTTGGGGGCACGGTGCTGTGCGCTTCTGCTCGACTCGGAGCAGGGTCACAGGATGGAGGCGGGGAGCGGGTGGTGCGGGCCTGCTCCAACTAACTCGGGCTAGAGCCACCCTCCTGCGCGCACGCGCACGCGCGGGGCTGGGGGGCGGCTCTCGGCAACTTTCTGTGCATTTTAAACAGTTCCAAACTTTTTTTTAAAAAATTTTAAAAAATAAACTATAGGGAATGAAAGAGATCTACAGGTAGAAATGTTTAAAAATCATGAGCAATATTGAAACAAGTTCTGTCAATAAATCTGGAAACTAAGACAGAACGGATGTTTTCCTTTAAGATTGTAACTTACAAAGTGATCTCCAGTTCACGTACAGCCCAGAGCAGCAAGTCAGACCGCCGGCGAGGGCAGGGACACTCAGCGTGCTGGCGACTCGCCCGAGCCAGTGCACAGACGGCGCCCCTCGTGCCTCCACGGGAAGCCGTGGCCTGCCTGTTGGGAGAGCGGGTGAGTGCGTAGAAGAGCCACCCTGCGGGCGACGCTCTGGAGGGGAGAGAGCATTAGGGCCCCCGGTTGGAGCCCTCGCGGGACCCGGAGGAGCACCTCGTGCGGCCAGTGGCATGGGAAGGCGCTCTTGGAAATGAAACATGCACGTGAAAATTTAAATTTTAATAGGAAGCTTGGAAGACACAGTCACGGGGAGCCTGGGAGAAAGATGGGAGCGAGGAGCTCAAGGACAGCCGCGCAGACCCAGGAACCCACGCCTGGTGTGACTTGCAGCTGCAGGCCTCAGGGATAGCCCATGTCCCAGGGGAAACGCGCTTCCTTTCCCAAGCCTTGCTGCTGGTGTGGACAAGTGACGGTCCAACCAGAAGAGCCAACGAGGCTTGCGTGCAGAGAGCCACCTTCTCTCTGCTGCCTGGAAACCAAACGTGATGGCTGGAGCCCACGCAGCCACCTGGAGCATAAGGGGAACCGTGCTTGGGAATGGCCGAGCCACAGGATGGGAGCCCTGGCCCCTGCTGACTGTGGTGCTAACCGAGGGCCCCGGACCACCTGTCTGCCCACCTCGGCTTAGAGGGAAACGACGCATCCCTGTGGATCAGGGATTTCTGCCTCCTCGTAACTAGCTGTACGGCAGATGCTGAGTGTTCCAGAGGAGAGACCGTGCCGTTCTCAGCACAAGGTGATGAAGAAACCTTCAGAGCTCAGTGGAGACCAGCTCTCCCAGCGTGAACCCAGGACGAGTGTCGGGGCCACAGGATGCTCTGCTGCTCAAGGAGCAGATTCTCCCAGTGTCACCTGCAAAGAGACAAGAATCAGACCAGCCCCAGGCCGGGTGCCTCAAAGCTTCTGGGGAAAACAGCTTTCAGCCCAGCGCTGCATATCCGACCGAACCGCAGGAACAGGGGTGTTTTCTGTTACTCTCCCGGAAAGCTCTTTGAAGACCGACAGCTGCAAAGGAAGGGGCACTCATGAGAAAGGGCCCCATGGGGTGGGAGGGTGCTGTCAGCTGGCCTGGAGCAGGGGGTCCCCCAGGCACACGTCTGGGAAAGCAGGACACCTGTCGGGGTGGGACAGTAAGGCGGCGCTTTGGGGACATGCCAGGGAAGACCGCAGGGGACCAGTCCCAGGAGGGAGGTGCTCAGGCTGTGTGAGAAGTGAGGGGAGCGTCCAGGCAAGTGCAGAAACAGGCCTGGAAGCAAGCCTTGGGTGGCGGAGGGCAGCAGGAGGGCCACGGCGACTCTGGGCAGAGAGTTGGGCCATGTCGGTGCCCGTGAGTGGGTGGGACAGACGCCCTGGGGCAGGGGAGAGGATGGGGAAGTGAGCCCTGGCACGGCCACACGTGTGCACACGTTGCAGCAGATGAATTGGGGGAGCTTCTGGAGGGGATGTGCTTCTTACCTGAGGCACGTGGTGCAGAAAACGGTGCCGCGTACAGGAAAAGGTGGTCTGATTAAGAGGCAATCAGAAACAATCACGTGGCGAAAGAAGGAACACGTGAGAAGTGGGTGGACGTTGGCAGCACCTACAACAACCAGGGATTTGGCGGTAGATGCTCAGGCTCCCGGCAGAAGGTGGGTGACGGAGGGGGCATCTGCGCGAAGACAGAGCGGCCACCGGGAAGCAGGGGCTCCCGCCACACGTGGCCGCACCAGGAGGCGCGAGGCGCCACCCCTGCTCCATGGGGGGCGTGGCCGGGCTGGCTGCGCAGACCTGAAGGATGCAGTGTTCTCTGGGCCTGCGCGCGGCTGTCTCACAGGGAAGCGTCTGGAACCACGGGCAGTGTGTTGGAGGCACCATGCCAACGCTTTTCTGAGCTGAAGCCGCACAGAATGACCCAGAGAGTAAGTAAAATCCACAGAAGTCACAGAACACTTGTGAATCGTGCATCTCTGTGTGTGCAGGATGCGAGCGCAGCCCCCACCTCTGGGACGGTGTGGTGGGTCCTGGCCAGGGCCCACCAGCAGGCATCCTTCTGGCCAGCCAGACCCGGCCGCCCTGTACGTGCTGCCCGGTGAGTTCCCCTCCGGCCCTGCTGCCACTGGGAGCACCCGGGGCCTGCGCTCTGAGTTTATTCTGCAAGGTGGGCCCCATGGGACCCTGTTTCGGGGTTAAGGACACAGGTCACAAGCCTGGTCACACAGCTGGTGGAGGGGTATGTGAATGGACATCTGCTGGTTTCCAACTTACGGAGACAGACTGGGCCCTGGGGATTCCTGCCAACTTCGTCCCCGGGAGGTCTGTGTGATACCTGGGGGTATCCCAGCCACTTTGCAGTCATGACAGGGAACGTGAGGAAGCTGCAAGGAGAGTGGACCTAGGGGCTGGATGGAGCAGTGCGGTGGCCCAGGCCTGCGTCCCTCTGGACGGAGCTGCCAGTACCTTGTACCAGTACCTGCAGCTGAGCGGGGCCTCCCTGGCCCAGGGTCAGGGGTAGACAGCCACGGAGCAGGTTGCATTCCCTGTTCTGAGAATGCTTCACTGGGTACCACGTAATTAAAAATACGCTTAGGAGAAAAAGGTTAGGACGTGAAAAAATAACTTACCAAGACACGTATGTGGGCAAGTCACCCTCAGAAATGCAAGTTAAGGTAAAAACAGTAGATGTCAGTCTGCGTCCATCACACATTGCGTTTTAAACCCTGGACTGCCCAGTGTTGCACAGTCGGTGCTGGTGGGTAGTCCCACCGCCAGGGTGCAGCGAGCGGCACTTCCCGGAGCCCCGCAGCGGGTTCTCCTGTGGGCCTGCTAGTCTCCACCCTAAGGACTCATCTCAAGGAAGCCGCGGGATTTTACCACGGCTCAGCTGGCAGTGGAGGCCGCCCGAGCGCCCCAGCAGTAGGGAGCGTCCAGACAAGTTCTGGGTCGTCCGGGTTGGGATGTAGCACAGGGTGGTTAAAGTCATGATTTGGAGATTGTTTACTGCCGTGGGTCAGCGCTCAAAATGAAAAGAAGGTTGCCATCTGCACACACCACCGGCCTTTGCTTTGAGCATCCTCCTCCGCGCCTGTCCACAGCTGAGCCTCCTCTGCATGGGCATCTCGGGAGGAGGCCTGCATGCATCCAGCTGCCGAGCCTGGAGACTCAGGCTTACCTCTGGAGCTTCCCCGAGTCCAGGGCCGCTCCTCCTAATGCTGGCTTGGATGCGTCTTTCTCTCTGTTCCCACTGCATGGCTGTCTGCCCACAGTGGGCACCGACGAGTCTGTCCACTCGCCCCCCACTGCTGTGGCCACCCTCCTCCAGTCCAGCTCGGCAGAGGGTGGCCAGAGGGCTCCTCCTGTGGTATGGTCAGCCAAGGTCTGTTTTCTCTCCTCCATCCCAGGCCCTCACTGCATCCACCTCCTAGCCGGCCTCCCCATGCGCTCTGCCCTGTGAGCACTCACTGCTACCCAGCTGTCACACGTGGGTCCTCACCCCACCCACACCAGGTGCAGTCAAGGTACCAGGAGTCCATGCCTGTGCAGCCTTGATGTCCTCCCGGGAGTCCAGGACTGAGATTCCTGGGATCTTCAGTGCAGGAACTGGAGCTGAGGTTCCTGGGATCTTCAGTGCAGGAACTGGGCCTGAGATTCCTGGGATCTTCAGTGCAGGATCAGGAGCCGAGGTTCCTGGGATCTTCAGTGAGAAGTGTGGGATCAGGAGCCGAGGTTCCTGGGATCTTCAGTGCGGGATCAGGAGCCGAGGTTCCTGGGATCTTCAGTGCGGGATCAGGAGCTGAGGTTCCTGGGATCTTCAGTGAGAAGTGTGGGAACAGGAGCCGAGGTTCCTGGGATCTTCAGTGTGGGATCAGGAGCCGAGGTTCCTGGGATCTTCAGTGCGGGAACAGGAGCCGAGGTTCCTGGGATCTTCAGTGTGGGATCAGGAGCCGAGGTTCCTGGGATCTTCAGTGTGGGATCAGGAGCCGAGGTTCCTGGGATCTTCAATGAGAAGTGCGGGATCAGGAGCCGAGGTTCCTGGGATCTTCCGTGAGAAGTGCGGGAACAGGAGCCGAGGTTCCTGGGATCTTCAGTGCAGGATCAGGAGCCGAGGTTCCTGGGATCTTCAGTGTGGGATCAGGAGCCGAGGTTCCTGGGATCTTCAATGAGAAGTGCGGGAACAGGAGCCGAGGTTCCTGGGATCTTCAGTGCAGGATCAGGAGCCGAGGTTCCTGGGATCTTCAGTGTGGGATCAGGAGCCGAGGTTCCTGGGATCTTCAATGAGAAGTGCGGGAACAGGAGCCGAGGTTCCTGGGATCTTCAGTGCAGGATCAGGAGCCGAGGTTCCTGGGATCTTCAGTGTGGGATCAGGAGCCGAGGTTCCTGGGATCTTCAATGAGAAGTGCGGGATCAGGAGCCGAGGTTCCTGGGATCTTCCGTGAGAAGTGCGGGAACAGGAGCCGAGGTTCCTGGGATCTTCAGTGGGGGAACCAGAGTAGGGGCCAATAGCACCTGGCCATTCGCTTAACGTCCAGGCCCGCCACTGCTTCCAGGACCAGGGACCCAGATGCCCTCTGCCCTGCTATTCATCCGTCTCTCCCTCGGCTTATTCTGTGTGGTCCCTGAAGGGCATGTGCTCCCGGCCAGGTTGGCCATCGGAAGGGGAAGGGAAGTCACGCCAGCCTCAGAGCCAACTGTCTGTATTTTGGGTTGCCATCTGTCAGAGGCTCAGCTCTTGTAGAGAACGGGATGAGAGGGCAGTGAGCAGCCTCACTGTAGGCCCTGCACCCCACACGAGACACCTGCTCGAGGCCACTCACTGCATCAGCCCAACGTCCAGGCTGGTGGGGGCACAGTCAATGTGTCACTCACACATGGTGCCTGTGGGCCAGCAACCTGCGCACAGCCCATCAGCAGCCTCCCTCGCCATCCATGAGACCCAGCGCAGGAGGCTCGGTGGGGGGGGGGGGGGGCGCAGACGCGGTGGCCAGAGCATTTCACTGAATGTGATGTACCCTTGATTGCAAGGCCCACTGTTGTATCCTGCTAGGGAAGAATAAAGCCCGTCCCTGAACTATGACAGGTCATGGGTTACATACTGGGCCCCTGCCCTTGGGCGGGAAATTGGACACTGCAGGCCCTCGGCCAATGTCTGGCTGTTGTCAGAGCGTGTCCTCTGCGGATCACGACAGCCCTTTAGGGAGCGCTCGCGGCCCTGGGGCACGGGCCTGCCGCCCTCCTGGACCTGAGACAAGCCCTCCAGGAGCCAGGCGCGCCCCCTTGCAGAGCCAGGTGTTTCTCCCCCCCCCACCCCAGCCTGGCTGTGGGGCATACCTGGGGGCCTCGTCTGTTTGGGAGACGCTAAGGCGGGGTGCTGTGCACGCTGGGAGCAATGCCTGGCCCAGCGTGGGGCGTGGTCTGCACGGACCTGACCCTCCGTGGGGCGTGGTCTGCACGCGCCTGGCCCTGCGTGGGGCGTGCTCTGCGCCTGCCCAGCCCGGCGTGGGGTGTGGGGCGTAGCCTGCACGCGCCTGGCCCTGTGTGGGGCGTGGGGTGTGGTCTCGCCCTGCGTGGGGCATGGGCGTGATCTGCACCTGCCTGGCTAGGCGGGGGGCGTGGTCTGCACGCTCCTGGCCCGGCGTGGGGCGTGAGCGTGGTCTGCGTGGGCTCCGCCTGTGCCTTCCTCTTCAGGGCTTGTCCCCACCCGCGGAGAGCTACAGCTGGGGGTCTTGTGGGGCGGGGCCCTGTCGCGGGTGGAGCCCCAACTAAGGGGAGGGTCCTTCCCATTGGGCGGTTTTGCAAACGAGTTGCAGCTCAGCACATGTCATCTAAACCCTGGGGAGACAGGACACCGACCTGCTCATGGGGCTTCACGCGAGGCGACCCAGGCCACACAGAGACACGTGGACACCGTCAGGGCAGGTGTCCAGGGCTGTCGTGGAGACCACGCCTGCATGTGGGAGCCGCAGGGGAGCACGTGGGGAGGGCGCAGTGGGCAGTGCGCAGAGGCCAGTGACCCGGAGGCCGGCCCTTTCCAGGCGGCGGGTCGCCGTCACGGGGCCCCGTGTGCGTTTGTGCCGGGACTATTTGTCGCTCTCCCCCCGTGGCAGTGTGTCAGTGTGGCCCTTGCGGGGTCTGGGGGTTTCAGATGCTCCGCGTCCTCCTCAGCATCCTGTTTTACTGTCTGGTGCCCACACGGAAGGTGAGCCCAGCTCCCGCACACACACACAGAGTGCGTTCTCTCGGGGGGCGGGACCCCTAGGCTGCTGGGGAGTCGGAGCCCAGAGCCAGCAGGGTCACCCGCAGTCACCCCCAATGTCACAGAAGGGGCTCCTGCCCAGGGGAGGCCGCAGTGCGGTGCACACGGGGACGGAGACCCAAGGGAACTGCGGGCCTCTCGGGACCGTCCCAGCCTGCAGTCAGGCTGGAGGGGGAGCATTAGCAGCCCTCCCCCCGCCCCGGGGTTGGGGTGTCTGGGCTGGTTTGGGGTGGCAGGCGGCCGGCAGCAGCCAGGCTCAGGGCCCCGCGCGGCCAGCCTCTGACGGGGTGGCCACCTTCGGTCCCGGCAGGTGCTGAACGAGGCGGTGGGGGCGCTGATGTATCACACCATCACGCTGACCAGGGAGGACCTGGAGAAGTTCAAAGCTCTGCGCATCATCGTCAGGATCGGCAGCGGTTTTGACAACATCGACATCAAGTCGGCCGGGGACTTAGGTAGGGTGCTTGCAGTTCTTCGCTCTGCAACTGTGTCTTCTTTCCTTGGCCTCGTAGGCTGGTTTTGCTTTTACACCGAGAATTCTCTCGCACCTCCTTGTTTGGTTGGAAGTGACTTGTGAGCCGGCTTTCGGGGTGCGGGGCCCCACGCCAGTTCCCTGGTCAACGCGGCTCCCTCAGAGAGCCTTGCAGGGGGCAGGTGCATTCTGATCTCCACGGCCTGTGTGTCTGCACCAGCCGTGGCCTGGTGAGGCGAGCATGTGCCCCATGAGGCCCACAGCTTCAGGTTGTGCCCCGGTGCCTGGTCTGGCCCGTCCTTTTGCCCAGGTTGCAGCTGAAGGAACAGGACCCGGGACAGCCCGGCATTTGTGTCTCCCGCAGACTCAGTTTACTCTGCTTCTGTGTGGACCCTCCTGCCCACCACCAGCTCACGTGGCAGAGCCCTCTGGCCCTACTGTCACCCGTCCCTAGGCGGCATCCCCAGTAAGGCAGCAGTGGGGGACCGTGGCCTGTGTGCTTTCTGCCCTGGGGGTCCCTGGGGGCCTTTGTCCCGGTGCACGAGTGTGCCCTGTTTTGTGATGTCACAGGCTGGGGCTCTGTTCCTCCACCAGGGAGTCAGGGCCATGTCCTGTGGGGACAGGCGGGGGCTCAGGTGGGGACTCAGAAGCCCCAGGACCTGGTTTGCCCTCTCCGCCAGCAGTTTTGTCCCCAGATTTAGGTGACGGTGTAGCCCGGTCCTCCTGCTTCCCGCCTGCTCTCGCATTTCCTGGCGGGCTGAGTTTTTTCTGGAAGGAAGAACAGGATCCACCCTGGGCCCTCTCCTAGAGCCCTGTGGGTGTGTGGGGCATCGTCCTGGCATTTGGAGTAGCTCCAGGAGCATCAGAGCCCCGTCTGGCCAGCAGGTGCCTCCCCTCAGCGAGGAGGTGACCAGTCTGCAGGCAGAGCGAGAAGATAGCAGGGCAGGGCAGAACGAGGGTGGAAGGGGTCAGGCTCGGGAGAGGCATGTAGCGATGCGGAGGGGCTGGGTCCACCTCTGGGCCATGAGGCCCAGTGGTACCCGGCCCGTGCATGCACAGGACTGGCCACCGAAGCTCAGTGTAGAGGAGAGGCCTGAACCAGCTCACTTTCCACGGCTGCTAAGGGGCTGTTGGGGCCGTGGGAACTGGGAGGGCAGGGGGCCTCTCTGTCCAAAGCCAGGTCTCAGTTGGCTTGGGAGCCAAGGAAGGCAGGAGGGGTGGGGCCTGTGCAGGTGTGAGTGGCTGTGAGTGGCTCCGGATGCTGGCCTGCCCGTGACCCCTTCCTGGAAGGTCAGGTGGCCCGAGGTCCAGGCAGGGCAGACCCAGGTGCTGGCATTTGCAGAGGGGCAGAGGGACAGAGAGAATCTCAGACAGACTCTGAGCGTCTGAGACTCAACAGGCGGTCTCCGCTCTGTCCTGTCTACTTGCTGGACCTACAGGCGGTCTCTCCCCACGGCTGGGGTGGGTCACCTGCGTCGTGTCAGGGTCTGGCCCGCCGTGGGGGAGCACCAGGACTGGCTTTGGTGACCAGCTCCGTGTGTCTTGTGTTTCCCAGGCATCGCTGTTTGCAACGTGCCGGCGGCGTCTGTCGAGGAGACCGCCGACTCCACCATGTGCCACATCCTCAACCTGTATCGCAGGACCACGTGGCTGCACCAGGCGCTGCGGGAGGGCACGCGGGTCCAGAGTGTCGAGCAGATCCGGGAGGTGGCTTCCGGAGCCGCCAGGATCCGCGGGGAGACCTTGGGCATCATAGGACTGGGTGAGTTAAGCTCCGTGCTCCCTCTCTGCGGGCTCCGCAGGCCTCGAGCCAGGGCTCGGCTGTGCTGCCGGACGGCTCCCCCCACCCAGGGCCCGCCTGGGGCTGACTCCTTCTGCCCCAGGAACACTGGGTGCGGGTCACACACGGGCAGACGTGAGTCCCGTGCCTCTGCGTACAGCCGTGCATGCTCATGCACGCCACCGGCACGTTGACGCATGCTCACCATGCCCAGACACGCTCACCCTGCCCCCCACGCCCCCACCCATGGCTGAGTAGACGTGGCCTTCTGGTGAGGGCCCGGTGGCTCTTAGCCCTGCTCTGGGGGGCGGGAGCTGGTTCACCCGCTGTGCGGGCCACTGTCCTGGGTCGGTGACATCCCTCTTCTCTGCCTTGTTTGTGGCCCATCTCTGTGTCTGAACTCGGCTCCCTCCACCTGGGAGGCCCGGGACAGACGGGGCCGTAGCTCACTGCCGGCCCCCTCGTCCTGCTGCTTCCCGAACTTGCTCTGGGTAGGCCCCCGTGCCCGCCCCTGCCCCACTGGCTCCCCAGCGGTGCGCTCTGTGCAGCGTGGGAGAGACCTGACAGGGACCCGCCTGCCTTTAGTGTAAGACGTCAGGGCGTCCATGGGACGCAGGCCTCTCGTCCAGTACAGCTCACGGTCTTGCTGCAGATGGGCACACGGACGCCAGCGCTGGCCCCCATGGGCGCCCTGCACCTCGGGGCCTGGGTGGGGAGGACGGGTGGGGAGTGGGCAGCTGGGTTTGCCTGGCTGGGGGATTTGGGGGCCACCTGACCTCCTGAAGCAGTGTTGTCGAGAGACTCAACAGGCCCGGTTCAAATGCAACTCTGACCTGGTGGGGCTGTGTGGGCTGAGTCTGCGTCTTAACCAGAGCCAGGTGACATGGCAGAGGCGACCAGAGCAGCCCCTCAGCCCGGCCCCTCCAGGAACTGTTTGTTTGCTTGTTTGTTTGTTTTAAAGATTCTATTTATCTAGAGAGTGCACAAGCAGGGGAGGGGCAGAGGGAGAGAGAGAATCTCAGACAGACTCTGAGCGTGCAGCCCGGTGTGGGGCTTGATCTCACCACCCTGAGATCATGCCCTGAGCCACAATCAAGAGTCCGACGCTCAGTTGGGTGCACCACCCGGGCACCCTCTTGTGATTGTTTACACAGTGCTCCTGGTCTGGGTACGTGTCAGGTACCGTCTACCAGGTCGCGGACACTCTGTGACGGAGTGTTGGGAGACAACCAGTTACTTGACCTCACAATGCTGTGGGTTTGTATTTTGGGTAGAAATGGCAGGATGGCTCTGCTCTGGCCTCACCTGGGGTCACTCACGGGCACAGTGGTTGCCTGGGGCCTTGGTGACCCTGCTCCCCTGGCTGATGCCCTCCAGCAGGCAGGTGCACACGGACCCCATGGCGGCCTCAGGGTGCGTGGGATGTTTCCATCCCTTGCTTGCTTTCTTTGTTAGCGTTCTCTTGCTCAGAGCAAGCCCCGGGGCTCCAGGAGGGGTGGGGCCCCCTGAAATGTGGGGACTTTGGCCACCCCTCCCCAGCGCCCAGCTGCCCAGGACTTACCTCCTGGGGTACCACCGTGGCCCCACGGTGTCCAGGTCGGCACTTACCTCCTGGGGTACAGGGCTGTGAGCACCTCGGCCCTGCACCTTCCCTCCAGGGTGCAGGGCCACTCCTCAGATGCTGCAGCTCCCACCCCGTGCACTCCCTGGGGAGCACCTCCAGCCCCCCGCCCTCCTCCCTGAATCCCCTGTCTGCGCACGGCCGGCAGGGGTCCCGGGGCGGACGGGGCTTCGCTCCCCTCCGTGTCAGCCCCGGGCACACGGGGCTGCGGGCCGTGTGGGGGCCCCTCGATCCGTGGCCGTGGTGACACCGTGTCCCGCCCTGCCAGGTCGTGTGGGGCAGGCGGTGGCGCTCCGGGCCAAGGCCTTCGGTTTCAACGTGCTCTTCTATGACCCGTACCTGGCGGACGGCACCGAGCGGGCGCTGGGCCTGCAGCGGGTGAGCACCCTGCAGGACCTGCTCTTCCACAGCGACTGCGTCACCCTGCACTGCGGCCTCAACGAGCACAACCACCACCTCATCAACGACTTCACCGTCAAGCAGGTGGGCGCGGGCTCATGGCCTGGGGGTCCGGGGCCTCTTCCCGCCCCATGGGCTCAAGTGCTGGGGAGCCAGCTGCAGACGGGCTGTGTCCTGAGTTGTGCGGAGGGCCCCAGCGTCCCCACAGCTACGGCACACCGCGCCCGAGGTCTTGGGCTTCGCCGCGCGTCTGCCTGCGCCAGGATGAGCGCTGACCGCGGCCGGGAGTGTCCCACGGCCGCTATGGGGCGCTGCCCTGGGTGCTCACACCCGGGTGTGGGGACGTGCGTGTGCGCACAGGTCTGTGGGCTGGCGTGTGCTTGATGCTCTCCGCCTCCCGTGAAGGACGAGGCCAGGCACCCGGGGCTCCTCTCTGTCTGCCGTGGGTGGGTGTGGGCTGGGGGATGGGGTGGGCACAGGCATGGCCCTGGGGTTCCATCCCCAAAAACCAGGTGTGAACAGGAGAGCCGACCGAGGAGCTGAGCTGAGAGCGGGCTGCGTGAGCCCCGCGGCGGGACAGGCTTAGCTGGTCCCAAGGGACCTGTCACCTCAGCGCACGGGGAGCCCCCCTTACCACGAAGCCTGGAGGGGAGTGCCTTCCGGGCAGCTCTAAGGGTTTTTAGCAAAAGGAAATGAAGCTGCCACCCAGCTTCGGACGCCAGGCCCTCTGGCCGGGCCACTGCACTGAAGACCCCATCTCGGGCCTGTGCCCATCACTCCTGGGCCAGGCCGTGTCCTAGACACGCCAGATCCTTTCCAGGCACCCCAAGCATCCTGGGGGCCGGGCCAGGAGACCCCACGACCCAGCCCGCACCTCACCACCGGGAGCGGGAGGAGGTCGGCTGTGAGTCGGTGCGTTTGCTCCAGCCAGAGGTCCTCAGAGTGAAGCAGGGTCCACACAGACCCCGAGCCCTCGTCCCCCTGCCGGCCCCTATCTGCTCCACGTCCCTGCTGGGCCCGTCCCCTGGGGCTGGGGGGCAAGCGAAGAGGGCCCTGTGTTGATTCACTCTTGGTGCTGTTTTTGTGTCCTCCCAGATGCGACAAGGCGCCTTCCTGGTGAACACGGCGCGGGGCGGCCTGGTGGACGAGAAGGCCCTGGCCCAGGCTCTGAAGGAGGGGCGGATTCGGGGCGCCGCCCTGGACGTGCACGAGTCCGAGCCCTTCAGGTGCCTCCTGGCAGCGCCCTGGGTGATTCCTGGATGCCACCTCTCTCAGACTGAGCCCTCGCCCCAGCTCGTGCCCCACACTGACCCCGGTCAGGCGTGGGGCCGGGGCTGATGCCCACTGGCAGTCTCCAGGCTCCATCCTTGGGCTGCGTGTGCAGCCTGAGGTCCTGCTGCAGGCGGGCCTGCCCCCAGGGCCCAGCTAGGCCTCCATGGGCGGGGTGGGGGGGCTCAGACCTGCGCTTCATGCGGAGTGCCTGGGGGCACCCAGGTGAAGGAGGCCACTGACCCCCGTGTGGGCTGTCTGTAGAGATCCCACGCCTGAGAAGCCCGTCTGGGGCAGTAGCTGGCCCCTGACCGTGCGTCTGCCCTGTTGTCTGGGAGCCTGTTGCTGCGGGGCCTCACGCCCTCACCTGCAGGGCGGGCTGGGGCGTGTACCTCTAGCTGGGATTCCTCCCTGCTGCTGTCGGGAGTCTGTGGCAGATTTGACCCCGCTAGGGTCCCCTGGTCTGACACCGGCTAGAGTGTGGTTCCAGGCAGGGCCAGGCACCCTCCACCCTACCCTGACCTGCTTCGTGCCTTCTGCAGCTTCAGCCAGGGCCCCCTGAAGGATGCACCCAACCTGATCTGCACCCCCCACGCGGCCTGGTACAGCGAGCAGGCGTCCATCGAGATGCGGGAGGAGGCAGCCCGGGAAATCCGGAGAGCCATCACAGGTGAGGGTGGCCGGCAGGACCCGAGCCTCCTTCTGAGGCCTGCACTTCTGGGCTGCTGTGCTGGCGGGGGCCACACCGTGCCATCCCCCCGAGTGTGGAGGTCAGCAACCGGCTTCCACGGTGGTGCTCCCCACGTAGCCCTCGGGCCCCCTTGTGCGTCACGCTTAGGACGCCCACCCATGGTCCCTCCGTGGGAATTCAGCACGTGTACCCTCCTCACCCCTCGTTTAAAAAGTCTGGCTATGTTTTTATACCTGGGCTGAGCTTGTCTGCCGCTCCCCGAAATCCCTAGGCCCTGCAGACGTGGGGCCGCTGGGGGGCTGAGGGCACTGCCCGGGCCCGGGGGGATCTCTGAGCTGCGAGGTGACTGCGTCCAGACAAGGGGAGGAGAGCGAGAGGGAGGGAGGCCCAGCTGTGGGGGACCCTGCAGCCCGTGCCCGCCACCGCCGAGCTGCCACGCTCCTGGACACAGCCGTGTGACACGGCTCTTCCTCTCCTCGCTGCATCTGCCAGGCCGCATCCCCGACAGCCTGAAAAACTGCGTCAACAAGGACCACCTGACCGCCGCCACCCACTGGGCCAGCATGGACCCAGCTGTCGTGCACCCTGAGCTCAACGGGGCCGCCTACAGGTGAGCGGGTAGCGGTGGGCTCGGGAACACCGAGCACGTCCGTGGTGACTGCTGGCAGGGTCCCGGGGGCGGGGGGCTCCTAGGCCTGGACGTGCACGCTCCTGTGGGCCCCAGTGGACCAGAAGGTCTGGGGATGAGAGCCCGACACACCAGACCTGAGGGTGAAGGGGGGTGAGGGAGGAGTTGGGGCCAGGGCGGGGTCCCGCCAGGCAGGGCCTTTGGGAGCAGCCCCCAGCCGTCCTGGGCCCACGCTGTGGCCCCGGGAGGGACCCCGCCAGCCTCACATGCCGTCCCTCCTCCCAGCAGGTACCCGCCGGGCGTGGTGGGCGTGGCCCCCAGCGGCATCCCGACTGCCGTCGAAGGCATTGTCCCCAGCGCCATGTCCCTGTCCCACGGCCTGCCCCCCGTGTCCCACCCGCCCCACGCCCCTTCTCCCGGCCAAACCGTCAAGCCCGAGGCAGATAGAGACCACGCGAGTGACCAGTTGTAGCCCGGGCGGAGCTCGACAGCCTCGGCGCGGGCAGGGCGGCGCCCCCGGACGGGCGTGTGCAGAGGCGGCCTGCGGGTGGCCACAGCGCTCCAGAGACTGTCCAGGCGCTGGCGGGGGCCAGGTGGCGCCGGCCTCCCCCGCCTCAGCTGTAGTTGCCCTGTCCCGGGGCCAGCCGCTGTCCTGTGTCCTTTGCGTCCTCGTTAAGCAGAAGAAGTTAGTAGTTAATTCTATCATGAATGTTCTTGTCTGTGTACAGTCTTTAGAACATTTCAGAGGATTTGTTTGCTTAGCTGTCAACAGAGAACCCTGAGGGAGCATTCGGCAGGTCGGTCTCAGACTGTGTCCCGTGTGTGTTGGAACACGCCCTGAAACGAGGCAGTTGGCAAACTTCTCAGGACAACGAATCCTTCCCGTTTTTCTTTCTACGCCACACAGTGCATTGTTTTTTCTACCTGCTTGTCTTATTTTTAGAATAATTTAGAAAAACAAAACAAAGGCTGTTTTTCCTGATTTTGGCATGAATCCCCTTGTTCCAAACGAAGGCGGCACCGCAGAGTGGCTGTGAGAGAACAGTGCACCTGGCCCTCCGCGCGCGGCGGCCGTCGGCATCTGTCCTGGGGATGTGAGGGCGCAGCGTCCCGGCCTGCTCAGGTGCCGTCCTGCTGATGTGGTAGGCTAGCAATATTTTGGTTAAAATCATGTTTGTGACTGTAACCATTTGTATGAATTATTTTAAAGAAATAAAAATCCCAGAAAGAACCGGCAGGCCCAGCGTCTGTGTGAGTGGCTTCGCCTCGTGGGGGCTCTGGCTGAAGGGGGTGGCCCTGGGGAGCCCCGGGGGGCTGTGGTCCTTGCGGGGGTCGGGCTCGGAAGCTGCTGCTATGGCGCAGCAGGGGGTGTGGGTGCGGGTGCAAGCGATGGCGTTTGCCGGGACACGGCCCCCCGTCTCCCGAGTGCACCTGCCTCGGGCCAGTCTGGGGCCTGGGACAAGAGCCGATGTCAGGGCCTCGGCAGATGAGAGTTCCGGAAGATCCGGAAGGCTGCAGGGATCTCTGGTTCCACAGCTCGCAGAAACGCGCCAAGCAGAGTGGTCCTTTCCTCACAGTAGCTCGGGGTAAACGGGGTCATCCTCATCACAGCCGGCGGTTTTCACAGGTTCCCCTGGAAGGCTCGTCGGCACCCTCAGGCCCCGCACCCCCATCCCGCGCTGGCCCACGGTCCAAGGTGCACCTGCGAGGCCTGGGCTCACTCCTCAGTCTCTGGCTAGACGGGACCCTGGGGGCAGGGACGGGGCTTCCCCGAGCCGGTGTCCCCCCGCCCCCGTTCCCCCACCCCCACCCCCGGCCAGAGCCACCGCTGTGCCTCCTGGAGCTCACCCTTCAGTGGTCTTTCCCGCACAGTTGTTTGGGGGGAAACATGAAGGACAAGCACCTGTTTGAGGGGGGCTTCTGGGGAAATGCCTTGGTTTTGCCCACACTCGACTAGGTGTTTGGCTGGGCAGGATTCTGGGCTGGGAGCTGTCTTCCGAGTGCACCCATGCCCTTCCATCGGCTTCGGCCTCCGTCGTCCCGAGTGGGTGTCCTGGCCGGGTGGGTCCCCGGACCCTCTGCCCCTCCGTGCCAGCACGTGCACCCTCCATGGGTGTCCTCCCAAACTCATCATCCTTCCTGAGCTGGGGGCTTTGTGTCTCCACTCAGTTCTGGGACGTTCTCGGCCTTTCTGTCTTGAGTTGTTCGCCTTTGTTCTGGTTCTTGAGGGATCCCGCAGGGATGTGGTGGGGCGACCAATGAAGAAGAAAACGCAGCCTGAGCACGAGCGTGTCCTAAGCAGCTGGACGAAGAATGACGAGATAAACTCTGAGATCGTCAACGGGCAGGAGTAACAAACAAGATGGGAATTAAGTGGAAAAGGACCAACAAATTCAACAGTTGGTTCTTCGAAAAATTAATAGAATTGATCAAAGTCTGCCAGACAAAGACAGGAGGCCGCCCCCAAGGTCACTGATGCCAGAAGTCTTGGAGAAATGAAAAGCCACTTGCCAAAACCGACAGGAAACATGCAGGGTCTGAGTAGCTCTATAACCTTAAAGAAATTGAACTTAGAAACATTTCCTCAAAGAAATTACAAATAGATGGCTTCCACCATTAATCTCAACAAATACTTAAGAAACAACTCATTTGACACACTTCAGAGAACAGGAAGGAGGACGCCCTTCCAACACAGTTTATGAAATTGACTCAGACTCTGAATTCCTAGAAGAAAACACGATCTAGAATTGCCTTGAAGAGTGTTCCCAAGTGGGGTGAACTTGCCCTGCAGAGCGAATCCAGTTGGTGCAAGGGGCAGGCTGCCCGGGGCACCTCAGTGCCACTCTGGTGCTGCTCTGGGACCCAGTGTCATTCCCCAGCTGCTAGGAGTGTTGTCTGCTCATGGCTCACAGCTGGGTCCACTCTGGGCGTGGTCCTCAGCGGGAGAGAGCCACCTCTCCCCTGGGGAGCCCACCTGCTGACGTTGTGGTACAAAGATTTGCTGTTTTGGGTCAGTTGAGGACAGTTCCGGAGGTCGGCCATCTCTGATCACTGTGGACCCAGCTTCTCCCTCTGCAGCAATGCTCCCAGCTTCTCCCTCTGCAGCGATGCTCCCAGCTTCTACCTCTGCAGCGATGCTCCCAGCTTCTCCCTCCGCAGCAATGCTCCCAGCTTCTACCTCTGTAGCGATGCTCCCAGCTTCTACCTCTGCAGTGATGCTCCCTCTGCAGCCATGCTCCCAGCTTCTCCCTCTGCAGTGATGCTCCCTCTGCAGCCATGCTCCCAGCTTCTCCCTCTGCAGTGATGCTCCCAGCTTCTCCCTCTGCAGCGATGCTCCCAGCTTCTACCTCTGTAGTGATGCTCCCAGCTTCTACCTCTGCAGTGATGCTCCCTCTGCAGCCATGCTCCCAGCTTCTCCCTCTGCAGTGATGCTCCCTCTGCAGCCATGCTCCCAGCTTCTCCCTCTGCAGCGATGCTCCCAGCTTCTACCTCTGCAGCGATGCTCCCAGCTTCTCCCTCCGCAGCAATGCTCCCAGCTTCTACCTCTGTAGCGATGCTCCCAGCTTCTACCTCTGCAGTGATGCTCCCTCTGCAGCCATGCTCCCAGCTTCTCCCTCTGCAGCAATGCTCCCAGCTTCTCCCTCTGCAGCCATGCTCCCAGCTTCTCCCTCTGCAGTGATGCTCCCAGCTTCTCCCTCTGCAGCGATGCTCCCAGCTTCTACCTCTGTAGCGATGCTCCCAGCTTCTACCTCTGCAGTGATGCTCCCTCTGCAGCCATGCTCCCAGCTTCTCCCTCTGCAGTGATGCTCCCTCTGCAGCCATGCTCCCAGCTTCTCCCTCTGCAGCGATGCTCCCAGCTTCTACCTCTGTAGCGATGCTCCCAGATTCTCCCTCTGCAGCGATGCTCCCAGCTTCTCCCTCTGCAGTGATGCTCCCTCTGCAGCCATGCTCCCAGCTTCTCCCTCTGCAGTGATGCTCCCTCTGCAGCCATGCTCCCAGCTTCTCCCTCTGCAGTGATGCTCCCTCTGCAGCCATGCTCCCAGCTTCTCCCTCTGCAGCGATGCTCCCAGCTTCTACCTCTGTAGCAATGCTCCCAGCTTCTCCCTCTGCAGCGATGCTCCCAGCTTCTCCCTCTGCAGTGATGCTCCCTCTGCAGCCATGCTCCCAGCTTCTCCCTCTGCAGCGATGCTCCCTCTTCAGCCATGCTCCCGGTGCCCATAGGGTGCTGCTGAGACAGTCCATGGACCCACTGTGTGCAGATGCCTGTCTGATGTGCCTTTCCTGGGCAGGCAGACTCAGACACAGCCACAGTCCCTCCCCCAGGGACACCCTAGCACAGATGTAGACCCACAGTGAAGGACAGAGCAGGCTTGTCGGGAGCAGCTTTCCTGACGATGATCAGAGACTAGAAACACAGTTTTGTGAATGCTCAGGGGAATGAGCCGGTGTGTATTTCACAATGAAACCCTGCAACAACGGAACCGAACAGAGGGCAAACCCACCAACAGCAGGGAGGAAAGGGGTCTAGTCACCGGTCTCCAAAGTGAACCTCCCACCCCGTCCCCTTGCCTCCAGCCCTGCCCTTGCTGACCTGGTGCCCTCGTCACAGGAGGGTGCAGCTCCCAGCCCAGGTGCCAGCCCCTGGGGTCCCCAACCGGGCTTGCAGGTCACTGGAGGTGTGGCCTGTGGTCTCAGGGCCCGGGGCCTCACTGTGCTTGAGACTGCTGCCCTTGGCCCTGCCCAGCAGGTGGGTTCCCTGCTGGATGCTGCCCAGCCCATCTCTGGCCCAAGGGCTATCCCATGAGGCCAGCTGCCTCCTGGAGCCCCCTTGGAAGGCTCCAGGGCCCAAACCAGGAGCCCGAGGTCCCCAGGCCCCACATTCCCCACTCCCCTCACCAAGTCCTGTGGATCCCTTCCACGGGCCCACCCGGCATCTGCTCAGGGCCCCCACCCCGACAGCCAGAGGAGCCCCGGCCCGCCTGGGCCCCGTGGGCAAGCAGGCTGCCTAGACCACAGCAGGAAGGGGTGGGATGCATCGGGAGAAGACAGTTGTGAGCTTTGCTGATGCTGGGGTGTGGGTGTGGCCCAAGGAGCCGGAAAGGTGACTCCCAGGGTCTGGGGCTGTGGGGCAAGGCCATGGGAGATGCCGTGCTCTGCTCTGGCCTTGGGCCCACCCAGCGGCCCTCAGAGCAGGGCCCGGCATGGGGGCGGGAGGCAGAGTGCACGGGTCCGCACCCTTCGTGGCCCTGTGCCTCGGTTTCCCCGGCTGTGCAATGGAGGCCACGGCCACAGCACGGGAAAAGAGCGTGAATGGGGAGGTTGGAAGGGGAGAGGCAGGCTGCTAACACTCGCCAGCAGACGTCGGTGTAGAAAACCCAACATCAACCAACCACTGGACCACATGGGCCGATTGGCACCAGCCACTCTCATGGAGCCGCGAGAGAAGCAGAGCAAACTGAGGCAGCAGGGGCGCCGAGGCGTTCTGCCCTTCATCCCGCTCCCCTGAGTGCAGGCTGTGACCGCCGGCCCCAAGCTCCACGAGCAGCCCAGGACCTCCGCGGCAGAGTCCGAGCCAACGGAGCGACCACAAGGCCGTGCGGTGGGTGGGGGAGCCTAACGAGACAAAATACGCCTTCTCTCCACCAGCACAGAAGCTCCTTACAGTCCAGCCAAAACTCCACCTGTGTGTTTCTAACAAGTTCCACCATCTTATCCCCTATCGGGAATCACAGCGGTCTGGGCACACGTATCCCGGCTTTCCGGAAGTTGGAGTCTGCCCTTTCCTTTTATGAAAGACCCACATTAGTCTGGCGAAGGCTTTTTCATAAACGTGAAAAATCCTCCGGGTCTGTTTCAGTTAGCAGAAACCGGCGCTGATGGAGACGTCCCGTCCGCGGAGTGGCGGAACTCTCGCCCTCGCGCCGTGCTTGGAGGGAGCCGCGGAGCAGTGGGGCCAGACGCGGGGTCCGCAGGGAAGACAGAGCCCGGGGCTGGCGTGGTGCCCGTGTGCGCGTGCGTGCACACACATGTGCGTGTAAACTTGAGATGTCATCCGGGACGGGGACGGACCCCTTCGTGGGTGAAACTGTGCAGCTCCTTGTGGCCGGGCGGGGAGGTCAGCCGCTTCCCCACGAGGACTGCTGAGGACAGGCCGTGCAGCAGAGAACTAGCTGATTTCCAGACCCTGGGACGGGGCTACCCCTCTACCCCTCTAGCTCCAGCTGGCCGAGGGTAGAC